TCTTCATATTAGCTGACCTCGACATACTTCTCTTCTCTGTTCTATCCCCTCACCCTTCTCCATTCTACATGCATCTCACACTTCTCCTTAGCTCTCCTCCATCTCTCCTCCATCATCTTCTTTCTCCTCTGACTCAATTACTCAGCCACATTGGGAACAGAAGAGAAAGAGAGAGATGGCAGAATGACAAACACCAAATCCATTTTTTTCTCTTAATCTTCACACAAACAGTGGCTGATCTCCAGGGGCCGCGGGCTGGATTTTTTCTCATTTATCCTTGTTTTATTTGTTTATGATCTCTCCATCACAGCCTGCATCCACAACAAAGAAAACAAAGCGCAAGCGGCGGTCTCCGAGTTCATTTTAATCTGTCACAATTCAGCGCTGCTAACACACAGCAGGTCAGTCCTCAGCATATGCTAATACATTCAAACCCACTGGAAATGTTAGGAGACATTTAGACAAGTTAGAAAAAATAGAGGTATCATTAGAGGCCAAATACTTATGTTAAGTTATTGTGTTCATGCTAAGAAACACAAAATGAAAGGCATCATATTGCATTTTTTTATTTAATTGTGAAAAATATTAAAAACAGCAAAAGAAATCTCAAAAATGTCCCAGTTGTAAACAAACTTTTAGGCCACATTTACACTGCACTGTTCAAGTGACTCAATTCCGATTGTTTACTCCCATATGGCACAGATCGGATATGGCCCATGTACGTGTAAGCAGGAACAAATCCCATGGATTCCGATTTACTCAAATCAGATTCAGGCCATTTTACTGTGTACTGGGTTGTAATGTATATTTCACAACAAAAAATAAATGTAGCATGCCTCGCTGTCATTTAAAACGTGCAATTCATAACACATCAGAGCTGAAGTCTATGCAGCACTTACAGGGAGGTTTTGGTCAATAGTGATACTGTGTACCACGTTATTGAACTCCAATGTCTCTGAGAGAGATTATGTTACCAGATGATCTTAACTTGAGAGATTTTACAAATAAAAGGTATTTTAAAAAAGGGAACAATGCGCAAACAACAAAACAAATAAAACTGGTCCCGTGGAGTTCAGCACTTAATCTTGCCAGTGTATGCTGTGTAGTGTGCATAACGCCCTTATGCAGCACATGTTGGCAATTCCCGCAAAACTGAAAGTGAAAGTATAATATGCATGCATTTATAAGCAGAAAAAAGAGGAATCCTCCACCACCACGATGAAACCGGTATTACCGGTGTTGTCACATGTCGATTAACCGGTGGGGAAATTTCCTCATTGTCACAACCCTAGTGAACAAAGCAAGGCTTCATGAAACACTGAAATAGGTGAGACAAATGTGTCAAAGCTTTAAAACATTTCAAAACCCGTCTTTACAGTCATTTTATGTATTGTTCTAGAACAGCATCTGACATCCCAATGAACACTTTGTGAATAAATTTGTCTTGTTTTAGTCTTTAAAAAGTAACATTATTAAAATCCGTCAAATCATGATTTCAGAATCTTTGTACAAATCTGGATTCGATCTTGGGCCATTTGCAGCATAGTTACTCTGTGCACAGTCCACTAAGCTTCATGAGATAATTTTTTTCTAACCCTGTCAGTTAAACGCAGATTTGTCAGGTCTCGAAACATTTCTGAAATGACCAACGCTTTGAATTAGTTACGTGACCTGGGTGTTTCGAATCACCATAGTCACGTGACCTGGCTGTTTCAGATCATGGTTTGGTGCACTGTTTCAAAACATTTGCGCTTCAGGATCTCGACACTGTCGAAACGTCAGTTTCACGTCAGCCATCCCTACCTGTCTGTCCCTGTTTTGACCTTTGCCTGTCTCACGATTCTTAATAAACTGCACTTAGATCCTCAACTCTGTTGCCAGACTCGTAGAAGTTACAGTAATGGGGCGGTATGTTGTACGCATTCATCCGTGTCTCCATATGGATGCTCGCTAGTTTGCATTATACACCATCGGATTTTGAGGCAGAGCAGACCAGACCGGTATTTGAGTCTGGCAAAGGACGGTTCCACAAACCAGGTAAATGAAACAAAAAAAAAAAGCAGTGTGAAATCGTAATAAAAGCAGGGGCCCATGATGGCTTTTCTCTTTTAGTTTGCTTTTGAAAACACTAGGTTTCTAGATTTTAACCTAACTTGGTTAGGTTTAGGGAAGGTGTTGGGCGGGCCAGTGAATATCAAGCTTATATATCATGCACAACAAGACAACCAGATTCTCTCATGGATGAGCGTGAGAAGGACGTTGAGATTGACAGAAACTTTCAAAGTGGCTTGATTTACAAGAAATGCTGCATATTAGAAAATGTGGCCCAGTAGCTTATTTGAGATTGTCAAAAAATGCACATAGTGGCCTGTGGTGGATAAGTGAAAACAAAAACAGCAAGGAGACGTAGCCATCTTTCAGGGATTATCAAATTGTACTAAAACAGTGGTCTCACACTTAATTCCTGGTGGGCCACAGCTCTGCAGATTTTAGCTCCAACCACCTCCAAATCACCCCCCACCATAATAGTCTTTAGTAGTCTTAAACACCTTGATTAGTTGGATCAGCTATGTTTGATTAGGGTTGGAGCAAAACCTGTACAGAGCTGCAGCCCTCCAGGAAATTGAGTTTCAGACCCATGTTCTAAAATGTATGAATGAGATTGCTCAAATTCACATGAATTAACCACTAAATCTAAAAGTTATGAATTGCCATTAGACTGCATTCAAGTTCAACACATGAATGGGCATGCGGCACTCTTGTGGTGTTTCTTTAGAAAAATGTTTTCATAGAAAAAATCCAGCATTAATACAAACAAAAAACATGCACTATATCTATATAATATGTCTGTCAACGACAGCATGCCCAATGCAGTTCCTTGAGGGTCTATTCACAACTAGGTTCTAGTAACTGTATTCCAGTTCAGAGGCTACATCCTTCAAAGAATGAAGACTTCAAAGTGCAGGAAGGCTGGACCAAGCACTGTGAAATGTGGGATACGGAGGATAGACTTTTCTCATAGCAACTGAGACAGCTGACATTGATGGGCAGAACTTTTTAGAAAAAGAGATTGAAAATTAAATGAAAAGGATAGTTCAGCCAACAATGAACATTTACTCACTCTTCAGTGGTTTCATTTTTCTGTTAAACACACGTAAAGACATTTTAAAGAAAGCTAAAACCATTGACATTGATAGTAGGAAAAACAAATACTATGAAGCCGATGGTTATACAGTAGGTTATCAGCTGTATTATGTTCAACAGATACTACCCATTTAAACTGAAAACAAGATGGAGTTCAAGTAGTCTAAATATGTGCACCTTGATCTATTTAAATACACATCAGAAGTATAAACTATAAATATCATCTTTGTAAGTTACAAAGTACAGTTTTTACATTTCTATTTTTTGCATTTGATTAATTGGATAACAAATAAAATTAACAAGTAAACCGATACTTACATTTAAAAGTTTAATCTAATATTTTCTTAAGAAATAAATGTTGTTAAGGATTTATTAAATATTGAGACTGTCTCAAAGGATGCATCAGCTGTTTCCATCATTGCTCAGGAAATAAGGGCACATTTGAAGGAGGTTTCGAACTGAGACAGCCTTCGTTGCATGGAGACGCAGTTGGCCTTCGAATACAGCCTTCAATAGATGCGGCGTCTAATTTGGAATGCAGCTATTGAGCCTGAACAGTGTCATCAGTTGGTTCAGGTGTGCTCAATAATGGTTGGAGCTCAAATTTGAAGCTCATTTTTAAAGTCTGTCAATGAACAGAGCAGGGGTGCCCAAACTTTTGCTTTTGAAGGGTCAAAAACCAAACTTGAATGAGGCTAGTGGGCCAAAGGCAAATATAGGTGGGGTAATTTGGCATGGGTAATTTCATAATTTAATTAATATTGTTTAAAAATGACAAAAAAACATTGTTTTATATTAACTAATACATTATTTTTTATATTTTATCATCACTTTTTTTGCAGTAATATCTAATTTATAACAAAATTACATCAGTTTTTGCCTTGATTTGCTTGCTGATGTCCTTTCTATCCATCGAGTGACAGTGTTTACATTTTTAAAAATCAGATTCATTGACAACACTGAATTGAAACATTTAATTTCAGTTTGCTTTCTTTTGTAGCTCAGCAATAAAACAAACTAAAAAAATGTTCCGTCAAAATTGAAATGATGATCTCTGTGCTAAAGGCATTCGTCCCAACCATCTCCATCATCCTCACTCTCCTCTCAGATAGGATGGTGGGTCAATTCAAAGGGCATCTCTGATATAGATCCTTTTTAAAAATTCAAATTTTATTGAGATGGGTTTTTAAAAGTATGAATAAAAAAATAATTCTCAACAACAGAGAAGTTCTGCACCATTAGTCGCAAGGGTGCATATTTAGAGTGAGCTGATTCACCTCCATTTTTCTTCTGTCCATTTTGAAAGCCTCATTAAATATGTAGGTAAGCCTGAGTGACCCATGGAGAAAAGCTGAATACATATGGAAACATAAATCTAATTTAATGACTTGAAGCAGTCTGAGTTCTTTTTTATTTGATTAAAAAAATACTCTGAATTCACTCCCGTCTGAACAACTAAACAATTAAAACATCTGCAGCATTTTAACCCAACACATTTTCATAGAAAAATGCAAAACCCAGCAAGACACACCAACAAACAAACAATTACAAAACAGATTCAAGATGATCATCCCGTATGAATGCCCTTGAAATGATCAGACAAAACCCATGCGCATGCATGCAATATGTCCACTCTCCACAGGAAGTTCATGCAGTGAAAGACAGGAAATGTAGAGAGAGATGAAAAGCTCAAGACAAAAGCAGAGAAAGATGAAGAGAGGTCACACCTTCCACACAAAGAAACCGAATGCCTATGCCTCCCCAGCATTGTGTGGAAGCTGACCTGGTGACAGTGATGCCAGCGATAATGAAGATGATGGTCATGGTGATGAAGAAACCAGAAATCTCTCTCCTACCTGTAAAAACTGGCAGGTCCGTCCCTGCTGGCAGGTCTGTGCTTTGACTAGAGCCTTATCGATATTGACTGTGGCCTTCTGGTACACCTCTCGGGCCCTGCTCACCGTTAGTGTGCTGGACCAGGAGCTCTTCTTGACGAGCGGTCCAGCCTGGTCCACTGTCGTGGAGCCTCCGAAAGTCAGAGCACCCGCTGTAGGGTTGGAGCATGTCGAGCAACTTCCGACGTCATTGTTGCTGCGTGAGGTCTTCAGGGATGAGCGTCCCCCTCCAAGTGTGTTGTAGCTTTGTCCCAGAAAGTAGTGGGACTGGGATTTGTCCGGATGGCGGCCCATTGTCATGACTCCAGAAGGTTGATGCTGGTGATAAAGGCAGATCTCTCTGTCTAGAGTGTCATCGGAGCTCCAGTAACCCGACCCCGGTGTCCGTGCACGAGGTTTGGGTTCAGAGCGACTGCGTTCCTTGTTCTTCCCCCGTTTGTTGCTTGACGACTTATGTAGGGTTCCTATGGTTGTGGTGGAAACGTTTGGGTGGGATGCAGCCGTAGCCATTGCGTCGGCTGGAATGGTGGGGTCATTTCCGTTGAGGCTGCGCTGGCCGGGACCTTCCAGGGAATGAGACTTAGTGAACAGTTTTTGGACGGAGTGTACAAGATGGCGAATGCGCCCAGGACTGTCACTGCGCTGGTGCTCCAATGCAGCTGTTCGTTTGTATTGCAATGTGTGATACCCGTCCTTCCTCATTGGTTGTTGCTGGTCGAATTTCTCCAGCAGTGACGCGGAGATGGCAGTGGAGTTGCATGGGCCACACCCACCCCCTGCTACACCCCCTGGTCCCACATAGGGCACTATGGCACGTTCGTCCTTAAGCTCATGATGCGAGCCATGATGTCTGCGTGGAAATGTGCTGCTGGCCAGATCCGACTGGCATCCATAGAAGCCATGGTCACTCGGGTGGTTGGGGTTGAGGACATAAGGTCGTCGGTCGTGGCAAAGGGTCAAAGAATCGTAGGACTGATCACAGTGTGTGAGTGTGTGGTGGTGGCTGCGGCTGGAGGACAAGCCTTTCATCGTCATCCTGATACGCTCACCCTCTCACAGCCTCATCCGCACACACTGAGCCTACTGCAGAAAGACAGATGGACAAGGAAATGAGGGGGCCAGAAAACAAAGTAGAGGACGAACAGATTACGTGATATAACAGAAACAAAACAAGAGGAATGAAAGGACAGAGACACACAAACAGAAAGGGAGAGAAAGAAACAGTGTTAATTAAAGATTGCCATATTACTTTTCAGCACTTTACTTGAAAGGGTATTTATTTGAAGGTTATAACACATTTATAATCATGACATGAAGTTTGACATGATTAAAGTATCAAGCATGAATATGACAACTGTTCATTCATCAGTTATGTAATTTTAAATGCAAAATGACAATGCTTGAGATGTCTTTACCCTGACAACTGGATATTACGAAGACAACATAACTTGTCATAAATCTGTCATAAACACGACTGTCATAAAGCCATCATAATTGTGTCCTGAATATTTTTGTAATCCCTTTTCAGTGAAACATACTGCATTTAACATTAAAACTTCTTAGTAAAAGTGTAAATACTCCGTCAAATTATTTTATAACAGCGTCTTAATTATTTAATGACGTTTTAATGATTTAATGAATTTAGATGAGGACAAGGAAATTGGTAACAGTTTACAATAATGTTAGTTAATGTATTTATTAACATGAAAAAACAATAAACGATCCATTTATGTGTTCATCTTGGTTAACGTTAATGAAAATACAGTTGTTAAGTCACGGTTTACGAACTAATGTAAATAATGCATAAGTAAATGTTGAACTATGAATAATAAACGCTGTACAAATGTTGTTCATAATTAGTTTGTGTTAGTAAACGCATTAACTAAATGGGGCCAGAAAATAATTATTATTATTGATGCCGTTTTAAAATTCAGGACCCAATTATAATGGTCTCATGGCAGTCATGTTTATGACAGATTTATGACAAGTTATGTTGTCTTTATAATGTCACATTGCCATAACAAAAACGTCTCAAACTATGTAATCTTTGCATTTAAAAATCATATATACGCATGAAACTATAAGCATGTCATACTCACAATATGTGTTATGTCATGATTATAAAGGTCTTATCAACCACCTTCAAGTGAAGTTTTAGCTATCCATTACGTTCACATTTTAAAACTTAGTGTGAACTATAGTCGAGTGATCTTTAAATAACATTTTGAATCATTCAGGATGTGATCTTACAATCCAGATCATACATCTGACTCATACTACATTAGGGAAGAGGAAAGCTATATTTAGTTGGCTGGCTGCCTGAACGAACAGAGGATTAATCCGTCTCAACTGGACGTCTTGTAAGTACACTAGTGTTGGAATCATCAACCATGATCACGACCATTTACATAAGACATGTTCTAGTGTTTAAAAACAGCATAAGAGAGCGCACTGGACTGAAATAGAACATTGAAGCCACTTGACACGTTGGACTTATTCTTACAACAAACTGTCTTAATGCAATTTAATGTGACACTCAGAAAATTTAAATGGAAACTTTGTTGCAATGTAGGCTCATTCTGAAAATGTAGCTCTTAAATATATTATGTATGGCTGCATTTTGTCTGTAGTTGTGGGGCAGTATGACGCTGTTCTTTTTCGTGCTTCCCAGCTGACCGCTTATGTCCGTATAGATGGCTTTTATACTGGTACCAGCTTGTCCAGTAGCGTGCCATGTACATTGGCGTACTTGAGATGCAGAGAGGAGTTGACCACAACGATAGGGTTTGAGTGTGGTGAAGAATGGTTCCAGAAAGAGGACAAAAACAGAAGCCAAAAAATAAAATAAAAAAGTAAATAACTGTGAGAACGTGGTCAAATCTGAAAACGTGGTAAAAATCATGCAAGGGCTTTTGTTTTTCAGGAATCCTTTTTAAAACTGTTGCCTTGGTTTAGGGAAGTGGGTGGGCGGGTCAGTCAGTGCTTTGAAAACACTATTGGTTGGGTTTAGGGTAGGAGGAGTGTGAGTCAGTCGATCGGTTAGTCAATCAGTCAATAGCATCATCTGGTCTATTTAATTGAGAACAGCAGGCGTAAATGGCACTCAAAAAAGACATTTGAGACCTTAAAAAGCATTCCCTGCAGCCTCTGGTGGATTAGCGAAAACTAAAACTGCAAAAAAAAAAAAAAAGAAAGAAAGAAAAAAGTACCTTCTGGGACGTATTTGGAGCTCTCTGGAAACATACACAGCTGTACGTTTTCAGAATGAGCCTGAACTGCATCCTGGCCCTCAAAACATATTTGTCAGACTGGTTGATAAAATAGCACTTTTATTTGACAAGGAATGACACATTTAATTGACCAAAATTCTAATTTTACATTACTAAATAACATATTAAAATGCAAAATACAAATACAATGCAAATACAAGTACAATTAATTTTAAATGTACAAAAACATCACCTATATGCTATAAAACTGCAGGTTAATCATGTTTATATATAATAACTAATATTTGGTTGTGCAATAATCTGCACCTTTTGTAAAGCTGCTTTGAAGCAATAATTAATGTAAAACGTTCTTTACAATAAAACTTTAATAGCAATAATATAATAATAAGAATAATAATAAGAAGAAGAAGAATTAATAAAGCTACAATATACCACTCTGGAATGTTTCCCAAAGTATCATATGACACTAAAGAAATTTACCATATGACACTGAAGAAAATGACTTATCCATTCTCAGTAAATACATGCAATGTGTTTTGGTGCATTTAATCATTTATTTCTGATTTATGAAATTTGGGATTTATTAAACAGATATATTTAATAAAATAAAGCTGTCACCAAAATATTTAGCATTTTAAAGATGAAACAATTAAAATTTAAAATAATGCAATAAAAAAAATTTTTTTTTTCCTTTTAAAAAAAAAAAAATATGTAATATTTTTCTACAACATTTGGGTGTACTAGTTTTTGGACCATTATTGTAAGTTATTTTATTAAATAAAGTCCAGATGTGGCTTTGGTACTGACTATAATAAAGGGAGGAGTGAGTATCCACAGATGACTGTTCTTACAATAAAAAAAAAACAATGCCATATTGCCATTGACTATTAGTCACTCTCTCCTTTCAAATCAATACTATGAACACCTCTTTGAAACATAAGCGGCAACATTACCATACCAATATTAGCATGAGAAATCAACAACAACAACTGTGTGCCTGCCTCACCAAATCTGAAGAAAGGCAGAGATGAGAGGATCTGGAGATAAAGCCAAAAACAGATTAAGACTGAAAGAAAAGGATTGACACATTTGGCTGTTTATTCAGCTGTATCCTGTTTACCGTGTCAAAATGAGAAATCAGTTGTTCATGCTTGAAGTCATTTGTGAGGCTGCGAATTCATTAAGAGCATTTACCAAAAGATCAATGACTGCACTCAGATCAATGACATCCAAGGAGATGGACGCTTATACAGCGCATGAGCATTCAGCAGATGCTGTGACTACAATCACATTGAAAGAGTGTTTAGTTTCTTATTAAATTATGTTTTATTTTTTTATTTTTACATATATAAATGTTTGTTTAATAAAATCAATCATATTATGTTGATGTGACTTCAGTTTCGATTCCATTTGGCTCTAAAAATAGATCCAATTATAATATAACATATTATAAACACACTTTATAAGGTTTCATTAGTTAGTTAATTTATGTATTCACTAACATGAACTTATAACGAACAACACTTCGACACAATTTTTTATTAAAGGTGCAGTAGGTGATCTTCCACAATGCTAACACCTTAGCATAAATCTCTGAATCACAGTCCCTCCCCAGCCGCCTAGAGGCACGCCTCCTGAAACAAGAGCATGCGCACCTTAAAGATGACAGCAAAAGAACCCTCTCTCATGTGTTAAAAGCAATTAGTGCTTGCCTTGTACAGTGGCGTGCAGAAATTACACTCATTACTAAGCCAAACTGACATGCTATTTCAGAGCGAATATTCAGAGTTGCATGGTAAACAATATAGGGAGAGACTAGGCGGAATAGCGGTATTTACTTGTGTTTTGTTGTTAAAGTAATTAAAATCTACATTATCTATGCTGTAAAAGGTCACTTATGAAACTAAAAAAAGTCTTATCAATCTATCACTAGAAGATTTTAGTGGCTGAACAACACTTGTGTGAAGATATAACCCATTTGTAACAACAACATCTAACGTTACATCAGTTTTGCGTGAAGCTAAACTAGTTTTAAAACAAAACATTACCTGTCTAAGAGAAATCCTTCAGCCATGTTGTCATCCTTTCTCCAGCGGGCAAAGATAACTCCAATATTGATTCAGGTTTTTAAAAAGTTTCGTATCAGCCTGTTTTTGCCGATCGCACACGATAAGTTTGAGCTTCTTATCGGATATTATGGGAGATGTCGGCCCAACTCTATTCAATTGGATGCACATTTGTTAGTTTTATGCCTTATCCAAAATATAAAAACACATATAAATACATTTAGATCATTTACTTTAATCATTACTATTGGAATGTGAAGAGACTTTTAACCAGCACAACAACAAATGCTTCTGCAGACAATCACCTACTGCACCTTTAAATATAGCTCAATATTTACACATTTTTATTAAAATACAAACTCAACCATACCAACATCAGTTACTGCATTGTGAGTTAACATGAACTAAAAATGAACTTTATTATACTCAACTAATGCTAACAAAGATACAAAAATTCTGTAATAAGTGTATTTTTCATGGTTTATTAATTTTAGTAAATACATACATATATTTAAAATGTTAAAATAATATAATATAATATAATATAATATAATATAATATAATATAATATAATATAATATAATATAATATGATCACCGGCAATCTAAACTCTATTGATCGCTTACGGACTACAAATCCGCCATGTTATGGACTATATTTTCATACATGCACTCCGCACACACACACACACACACACACACACACACACACACACACACACACACACACACACACACACACACACACACACACACACACACACACACACACACACACACACACACAC